ACCTGTCCTGGCATCGTAGGGACAGGGGCTTCAACCCGCCCAAAGTGAATCTCCTTTGGGTTTCTGAGCTGGCCCTTTTATAGCATCGCTTGGGGTGCCATGACTCAAAGTAGTTGATGTGGAATTAAATAGGGACATGATGCTCAAATGGAATATGTTAATATAAATATGTTTATTAAAGCTATTTTTCTCCGTGATCACATGATGTTGTTGATTGTATGTTAATGTGGTGCTATTCTGTGAGTTAACGCTGGCTTAGGTATATTTTCACTCAGCGTTTCGCTGAGCGTGTAGTCGTTGTTGTTTGACTGCACGCATGTAGGAACACAGATTTGGATGGGCAACCCGAAGGGCAGCGAAGTGGTGGTGTGGTGTGGATGGCTCTTGTTTACTTTAATAATTAAACTACATTATTTTATTTGATTATATGGACTGTTGGACGTTACTTTTGTTTTCTTATGCTTCCGCGATGTTTGGATTTATTTGATAATTCTGATGAATTTGGGTTTAGTTAAAACTCTACGGACGAATTTTATAATTGATTTAATAACCATTTTAAAAAAATATTATGCATGCGAATATCAACTTAGTGGCAACCCGGTTCGCTAACCCGTTGATTCGGGTTACGCGGGTTGGGGTGTTACATCGATGATTTATTTGATCAGTTTAGAGGATCTATTGTATTCTCTAAGATTGACTTACGGTCAGGATACCATCAAATCCCTGTAAAGAAAGAGGACATCACAAAAACTGCGTTCCGTACTCGTTATGGTCATTATGAGTTCATGGTAATGCCCTTTGGTTTGACCAATGCTCCTGCAGTATTCATGGATCTCATGAATAGTGTATTCCAACCTTATCTTGATCAATTCGTAGTTGTGTTCATCGACGACATTCTTGTATATTCAAAGAATCGAGAAGACCATGCAAAGCATCTGGAGATAGTACTCAGTGTACTACGAGAACATAAACTGTATGCAATGCTATCCAAGTGTGAATTCTGGCTCGATGAAGTCACATTCCTTGGACATGTGATTTCTAGAGAAGGTGTTAAAGTGGACCCCAGCAAAATATCTGCCATTACCGAATGGAAGGTTCCGAGGAATGTTCGTGAAGTGAGAAGTTTTCTAGGATTAGCTGGATACTATCGGCGATTCGTTGAAGGCTTTTCCTCAATCGCAACTCCACTTAACAAACTTATGAGAAAGAATGTGAAATTCGTATGGACCGACGCATGTCAGCAAAGCTTTGAGAAACTAAAGAAATGTCTGACAGAAGCACCTATACTGACACAACCAGTACGAGGTGTAGATTACACAATCTTTAATGACGCATCTCATAATGGCTTGGGATGTGTACTCATGCAAGACGCAAAAGTCATGGCATACGCATCAAGGCAGTTGAAACCGCACGAATGTAACTATCCTACTCACGATCTTAAGTTAGCAGCAGTTGTATTTGCTCTGAAGATATGGCGTCATTATCTCTTTGGAGAGACGACATATATTCACACAGACCACAAAAGTTTGAAATACATGCTAACTCAAAAAGAGTTGAACCTGAGACAAAGAAGATGGTTGGAGTTGATCAAAGACTACGACTGTTACATTGACTATCACCCTGGTAAGGCTAACGTAGTGGCTGACGCATTGAGCCGAAAGATGATAGCCGAACTCCGAATCCAGCCTACTCTTGAGAACGAAATTCACGTTGCACAAAAACGTGATGACTACTGTTTGAAGACTTGTGAACTTGTCTCTAAGGGCGAGAGACAAGATTTCACTGTGAATGATGGAATTTTATTCTACAGGAATTGTTTGGTAGTTCCTAGTGGTGAAGTGATGGAACGTTTAATGCGTGAATCTCACGAAACCACATATACCATGCATCCTGGAAGTAATAAAATGTTCCAAGATCTAAAGAAGACATATTGGTGGCCCAAAATGAAGTGGGAAATTTTTTGAATTTACAACTCGATGCCTGACGTGTCAACAAGTCAAGGCTGAGCACCAAGTGCCAAGTGGATTGTTACATCCACCTACCATCCCTGAATGGAAATTGGAACGAATTACGATGGACTTCGTGATCAGACTTCCATTATCAGCCAAGAAGAATGACGCTGTCTGGGTAATCGTTGACCGATTGACCAAGTCATCCCATTTTATTCCAATTCGACGTGATATGTGATTAAAGAAATTAGCAGAGTTGTACATCCGTGAGATCGTAAGATTAGACGGTGTACCTTGGTCTATCATTTCTGATCGTGACCCACGATTCACGTCGCAATTCTGGAAGAGTCTGCAGAAAGCCTTAGGTACTAAACTCAACTTTAGTACTGCATTTCATCCTCAAACAGACGGACAATCCGAAAGGACAATTCAAATTCTTTAAGATATGATGAGAGCATGTGTAATTGATTTTGGAAGCAACCGGGAACAATACTTACCGCTAATGGAGTTCGCTTATAACAACAGTTATCAAGCGAGTATCCAAATGGCTCCGTACGAAGCCTTGTATGGGAGACGTTGTAGAACCCCAGTATGCTGAACAGAATTAAGCGAGCAAAAACTTGAAGGACCTGATCTCATCCGCGAAACTGAAGAAAAGGTTCGTCTAATCAAAGAAAGAATGCAAGTGGCTACCGATCGACAAAAATCTTATGCCGACTTGAAACATCGGGAGATCAAATACAATGTTGATGACAAGGTGTTTCTGAAAGTCTCACCATGGAAGAAAGTGTTACGGTTTGGTAGAAAGGGAAAACTAAGTCCGAGATATATTGAACCCTATCGAATCACTGAACGCGTGGGTCCAGTAGCCTATCGGTTAGAACTTCCACCAGAACTCAACAAGATCCATGACGTATTCCATGTATCGATGTTGAAAAGATACCGTTCCGATCCATCGCATATCTTGACTGAGGGAATTGTAACTCTTGATGAACAATTGACTTATGAGGAGGAACCTGAACAAATCCTGGCACAAGAGGTCAAACAATTGAGAAACAAATCCATACCTCTAGTCAAAGTACTATGGAGGAATCACTTGACTGAAGAGGGAACATGGGAAACCGAAGAGTCAATGAGAACGCAATATCCAAATCTCTTCAATCAATGACTCAGGTAATTTCGAGGATGAAATTATTTTTAAGGGGGAGAGAAATGTAACGCCCCGAAAATAGGCCTATCAGAATTAATTAATTGACAATTAATTAATTACTGAGAAGGACCAAAAAATAAGTAAATTATAAAGTTGTCAATAAATAATGAAAATTATATCGTTGTGTAGAGTTTGATTGTCTGACTCCAACGGTTCAATCGGATTTCAATTCGAATGCAGCACGCAGTAGCGATAATGCACTACCTTACGACGGTAATGCACTATCGTGCGACGGTAATGCAGTACCGTGAGACGGTAGGATGGTACCGCCACAGGCCATTTTAGCCTGTCCAAAATCTTTATGTTCGGAAATTAACTTCAGAAAATGCTATAATGATATTTTTCCACTCCAAGACAGAAATGAAACCATTTTTAAAGCAAATATAATATTTTGATTAATCCTAATATGTCATTTGATGCATGACGGTAAGCTAGAGTGTTAACACTCGAAGCTAGGCCGCTATTTTCTATTGCTTTGAATGTTACGTTAATTGATGATTATGATGTATGATTATTATGGATTAATGATGAGGATTATTCTGAATAAAATGACGATTATGAAGTATTGAACTAGAATCAAAATAAATGGACTGATGAAAAATGAGTTGTATTGTTAAGGCTATCTAGAAGACCTCTAAGATAGACTTCAAATTAGAATGGGCCTTGCGGGTATAATTATGTATATTCGATGGCCTTGGTAAAAACGTACCTACGGGATCCATAAACCAAACTAGAGGAACTCGTTTGGGGATACCACCCAACCCGACAGTTAGTATTCTACTGTTTAGTATTCTGGATTTGTAGCTTA